AATTTACGGTTATGGATCTAGCTGGAGAATTTACAGGACCATCATTAGGATTATCCTGGTTGTGGGGACCTGAAGATTCATTCTTTGTGTAGGAGTTTGTTCCTATGGCAGATTTTTCGACCTCAGGTAGGTTCCCTCCTGAAGGACGGGCTCCCTGTTTATCCACTGGAAGAGCCATACTGGACGTTTTGTTTCTATTTTTAATTTTCATATTAATCCCACGAGTGACGCACGGGTCCAAAAGTCCACCCAAAGTTGCCCGGCACGTTGAGTAACGGTCTTTTACAGACAGGGTTCCGAAGCCTGTAGGGGATCGTTCGCGACCTCATAACGCAGTAGCCATTCACTCCTCGGCACGATTAACACCTTGAGTTGCGGGTTGTTGTTCAGTTTTCCTTCTCCTAAATGGGTTGCCAAGCAACAATAGACAGAGACACGATTGGAAATCAAAGAGAATGACGCTGGTTAAAAAAAAAAAAAAAAAAAAAAAAAAAAGTTTACATTCGTTTGTCTTTGCTGTGAAATTTAAAAATAATTTATTGGCCCATCTGTAAATTCCACGATATTCCTTCTTAGAAAGATTGCATTTTTCTTTTCATAAATTCATAAAATGTAATATGTAAATGTAAATTCCGTTATTTTTTTAAAGTCGTTGAAAATAGCGCTGTTAAAAAAAAAAAAAAAAAAAAAAATTTTACATTCGTTTGTCTTTGCTGTGAAATTTAAAAATAATTATTATTATTATTATTATTATTATTATTATTATTATTATTATTATTAAAGACAACAGACATTTTTGTGTCAATTAATTTTAATGATCGACTTTTCCAAATTATGAATAATTCTCCCCAGAGAAGCCATAATTCCGACAAAAATTCATTTCGTGTTAAAAGATTCACGTTTCTCGTATTAACAATTAAAATTTCTGCGCATTTTACGTTTTAAGGAATCAGAATTGCGCCTTCTCGTGCTAACGTCCTCAGCTGACATGAACTGGAAAAACTATATTAAATACATTGCTAGGCCAGCTGCTAAGAAAGTCGGTTCACTGTATCGTGTAAGACAATTTTTCTCTCCGGTATCTATCTTTCATATCTATAAGTCTACCATTCGTTCAGGCTTAGAATATTGCTGTCATATCCGGTGCCCCACCTGGGACTCCTTGATAAGATTCGAATAAAAATCAGCAATATTATTGGTCCTGATCTGGCGGTTCGGCTTCAGTCACTTTCCCGCCGCCGTAATGTTGCCCCTCTGTGCCTTTTTTTTTATAGCTACTTTCATGGAAATTGTTCGGATGAGTTCTTCACCTAGACAGTATGATTTGAAGCGTAGTACTAAAATGGCTGTGGGATTCTCATCAATTTACAGCTGAGCTGGTGAGATGTAGTCGTAACTTTTATGCTAACAGTTTATTTTTTTCGCATCTCCCTTACAGTTTACATAATTACAGACATACATACATGTGTATGTTTGTGTTTGTATGTTTGTGTGTGTGTGCGCGCGCGTGTGTGTGTATACACATATTTATGAATATATCTATAAATGAGAGATATCTGTATATTCTGAGTGCGATGAGTAAATTGTCGCCATCTTTGTTTGTTTTTGACTTTGTCGTCTGCACAGTATAGTAGGGTCAGTTGGGCACCGTCTGTGAGGGGGAAAAAAAACATAATGCACCTTGCCAGAAGTTTGGAAACGGCATGCTGTGCTGCTTCGTATTCGTGCCGGAAGCTCCAATACGAAAATTTCAGAATGTTTGGGTGTCAATCTTAGGGCAATGCTGAAGATTTGGAAAGAGTTAGATGATATATAACAGCCATAATGGTGTTTGGAGTGATTACTAGTGATGGTGACTTTATGTCTCCATTCATCTTCCTACAGGGTCTCAGAATCAACACAGGATGCCCTGGGAAGGTAAAGCTGCCCTGGGTAAAGAGGGTGGTTGTTGAAAGACTATTTTTTTTTTGCCAACAGCACTCTGCGCCATGCAACACATGCAGAAGAACCCAGTCAATGCTGTCAGACAGTTCCTGCGATCACATCAGCTCTTACATCTGGCCATTTAACTGCCCAGACTGCAACCCTCTTGATGTGTCGGGTGCAGATGAGCGAGAGACCAACAAAAATCCTTTTAACACCAAAGATGAACTGAAGGCACGGATTATGGCAGCATTCACCAACTTTAACAAAGAGACAGTTCAGAAGAGTTGCAGGAGATTCAGAAGTTGTTTGGCGGCCGCGGTTGAAGCCAATGGCGATTTTATTGAATAAATTTACTCTTTACTATCTCAAGATGTTTTCCTGTTATTTTGCTAAATATATCTGTTAAAATGAGATGTCAGTGTTATTTTTATTTTTGCGCAATTTAGACGATAATTTATCCATTGCACCCTGTAAACGCAGTGATAATGAAAATATTAGCCATTTCCTTATAAGGAAATATTTAGCATTCACTTACCGAGGAGCCGATGCTACTTTTGGTTGTCATTCATAAAAATTTTCTATTTTCCCATATCTTCCTTCCTAACATTTTGATTTCTTCAATTTATTTTTCGAGGGTTACATATGTGGAGCCATGGTTTACATAACTACAGACGATTCGTGTGTTGTCAACATTATTCACAACATATCACTATAACAAGGGCAATGCCTCGGACTGGTGAATAGTAATCAGTTTAACAATTAAATTAAAGAAACTTGCTCTCGGATTACGTTTTTCTCCAACTCTTCAGAATCTTTTATATATATCTATAAGTCTACCATTCGTTCAAGCTTAGAATATTGCATATATAGTCCGATACTTCTGTTATAAATCTAGAGATCCTTGATAAAATCCAAAGAAGAATCAGCAATATTATTGGTCCTGGCCTGACATCTTGGTTGCAGTCACATTCAAACCGACGTAAATTTGCTTCCCTGTTGCTTTTTCTATAAATGTTGTTCATAATGACGGTCGTCTTCGAGTATAGAATCCAGAGGTTAGCAGTGAATATTTCGAAGACAGTAAGAAAGCATTGTTCAGGTTAGCAGTGGATATTTTGGTAAAAGTAGCAGAGCATAGTTCGTCCTTCTGGTTCTCTTCGCCTGACAAGCTGGACTGAACATTTGGGTAGAGTGAACAAAAATGGCCGCCTTTATACACGACGGATTGAATGTTCTACGTCTTCTGATTGGTTAACCTTCTATTCTAACCTTCTCACTTTATAAGTGAGTTAAGTCATTTTGACTGGCTCACTAGTTACATATATACATATACACAAAAAACTGTAACAATACTTTCATAGTAATACTTTTTAATTTTTAAATTTAAGCCCAGTACTTGACTGGAGTCGAGATCTCATCAATTTACATTTGAGTTGGCGAGATATAACCGTAAGTTCTATGCTAACAGTCTATTTTCTCGTACTTCTCGCTTGTGAAATTCTCTTCAGGCTCCATGCTTTCTAGTCAACAAAAAAACATTACATACAGCGATGTCAATGACTATCTACTGTCCTCATGAATACGTTTTTATTGTTCTCGTTCCTCTCTACTTTTTCATTCTTCCACACACATTAACTATTTGTCTTAGTGGCTTTACTGCCTCGAATGGGGTGAACAATATATTATATATATATATATATATATATATATATATATATATATATATATATAAAGTCTGCAACTCTTCTGTCCGCTTTTCAGTCTACAAACAAAAACTTCTTACGTTGGAGAAAGTTTCTTCTGTTAACAAGTTCTTCTCTATCTTTATCTCTCAAGCCATAATGGAATAGTTGTCGAAGAGAGATGGTGGTGATGTCACTCTCTCTAGTTGTCTGTCGGTAGAATAATAGTGGGTCGCTATATTTATCAAAATAGCTTTTCTTTCCGGTGCCAGGTGATAAGTATTTACTTTCCAATCTTCATAGAGTTAAAAAAAAAACAAACAAACAAAAAAAAAACAAACATCTAGGCGGCCTTGTGGTTGATGAATTATTTTCCACGATACAATCCCTTTCTCACCGACGAAACTTTTCTCCTTCTCGATTTCAATGAAAAACGTGTTGTATTTCTTAGTTCTTTCAACTCTAGCCCCCCAAAAAAAACAACGCTGAGGTGAGTTTTTCTTCCTTGAATAAGGAGTAAGTTCCACTCGGACAGCTTCTTCCTATAACTGTTGCTTTGTGGAAACTAAATCACAAGAGGACGTTTTTACAACCACTGCAATCTTAACCTTTTCAAAATTTTTCAGGTTAATAGTTATCTTTCACACATAAACTGTGTCCTTTACCCTTACCTCTTGCATAACAAGCACCGTCATTAACCCTCTCACTTGTATAGGATGAGTATTAGTAAAAGAAAAGTACTTCAGCTTAATTAAAGAATGAATTGACAAAATTATGCATTGAGCTAGTCGAACTTGTATTTTGGCATTGATTTTTTCACACATTTTCGCCGTGGAAATCTTTTTTTGTTTAATTATATTTAATAATGATATATATTTAGAGATTCTTGATAAAATCAAAAGAAGAATCTTACTAGTCCTGACTAATCATCTCAGTTTCTGTCCCTTTCTCACTGCCGTAACATAGCTTCTCTCTGACTTTTCTATAAATAATTTCATGGTAATTGTTCTGTTGAACTTTCGCTGGTACCTAGAACTATCTTCCGACTTCTTGCTTCTTAGTTAACTTTCATCATCAAACATTTAAATACAATATCAATCATCATCTGATGTCTTCTTAATTCTCCGTAGTAGTAGTTTTCGCATATATTCTAACACTCAGTAACCCATTGCATCTTAGTTGCTTTATTGCCTTACTTACGGTGAAAAGATTAAAAAATAACTTTATGGGAATTTCGAACCGGAAGCATTATTCAAGCCATGAAGTTAGATTATTTTTATATTATGTTCCAACTTGGTTAATATATCGTGTCGATTTATTTTTCTTTGTTAATTCGCCTGCTTTTATAACTGAACCTGAGCCAGTAACTGTTATAAATTCCACGAAGACTCGATGCGCAACCTGTGCTTTTCTCGAATAGGTCACATGCTAAAGATAAATGACTTTGAAAGACTAATACACACAGAATAAATTGCGAGTAGGAAATGCAAAGGAAAACTATTTATATAATGAGTTCTTGTAACTTGATGACAAAACAAGGATAAGGAAGTGTAGTTACAGGTCAAACATTGCTTAGAGTTACAAGAGACAGGAAGATTTGAAAAAACTATGATAGCCCCCATCCTGAACGGAAACGGCATGTAAATGGCGATGATGACAATGACTAAATAACTGTCCTCAATAACAATAGGTAATAGAAATGTGAACACTTAAAGCCAATGTTCCTTTCTTTGACAGTCAAAATCAGTAGCACAAAATTTAATAAAATTAACCTATACAAGATGACTTTTAGCGCTAAAATCGACCCACAGATTGAATAGTGTGTTCGGTTTGTGCTTCCCATAAGGTTACTAAAAACGACACACCAGAAAAAGATAAAAGGTACAGCAGCAGACAAGTTGCAAATCTATATCTATAAATGGCATTCTGTTAGTGTGTCAGTGTGTTTGTCAACTAGTTACCTCATCCTGAGCAAACCGTTCGTCCGATTGGCATGAAAATTCACACACAGATCGGAAATTTACAGCATTTGTAGTTGACGTCTTCGGATTTTTCGATTGTTCCTTCGATTTTGGAAAAAATCGATAAATCCGATAGGGGGTCGAATATTGTTTTTCAGTGATAGTTTTCACAGATTACAAGTGATATCCACCAAACTCACATTGAGTAATGTCCTTATTTATAGTTTTGAGGTGCTGTTCTTTGTGTTTAAAAATTGATATCAGTTATCGGAAAAAATCGAGAAAATCGATCACTTTGAGACATTCGATTCAAATCTATTGTAGTTGATTTTTTTTCGCAAACTGCAAGGAATTTACATGAAAATCATGTTGAGCATTAGTTTTATCAACAGTTATTAGTTGCTGACCTTTTTCTTCAAGATCGGTATCAATTATCGAAAAAAATCGATAACATCATGCTACTTTTGACTTCGAATTCAAATCCAGTCAAGGTGATTTTTGGCTATATTTTTCGCAAATGGCGAAGAATTTCCAGCAAAATTACGTTGAGCATTGTTTTTATAAATAGTTATGTGGTGCTGACATTCATTTTCAATATCGATATCAATTACTTGAAAAATCGATACGATCAATCACTTTGGGACATCCGATTCAAGTCCAGTCTAGCTGATTTTTGGCTATATTTTTCGCAAATGGCGAAGAATTTTCAGCAAAATACCTGTTGAGCATAATATTTACCGACAGTATTGAAGTGTTAACTTTCATTTGAAATATCGGTTTCAATTATCGGATAAAAATCGATGAAATCACACCACTTTTGACTTCCCATTCAAATCGAGTTTACCTGAATTTGGCGATGTTTTTCGCAACTTGCTTGGGATTTTAATTAAGGTTATCGGCTTTAGTCGTGACAATTAAAAAACTTTTGACCTGTGAGCTCCTTTGTGACCAACTAATACCTGAGGGAAGTCGATACAATCATATGTTCATCGGAATTTGCGAATACACCAATCAAACGTTTGTTCAACTGGGACGTCTACACTACAGACTCTACAGCTGATTGTTATTCACACACGCGTGACCATGCTTCACATAGCGGTATCTCATTGGCTGAGTGCAATACGCGGTCGCTGATTGGTGTTCGAGACCCAAAGATGCTCGCTGATTGACACAACCGATTGGCCAGTAATACTTCGCATTTGAACCTGCTGTGAACAGCTGTGGGACGAAGGTCTTACTTCTGCTCCTGTTACGCTGCCATCCGGTTGATACGATAGGCTCCTTCAACTGATCATTTCTCCTACCGCAAGTTGTTTCTTACGTTTTTGTTTTCCGTTTGTCTGTTTAACTACATTTTTCCAACTACCATAAACAATTTATTCAGCTGTTTTAATTAAATACATGCCTTCCCGATTCTGGCTCACGTTTTGCGATACTAAGTTAGACTTTGTACTCGTGGGATTGAGTAACCCTAATCAACCACTACTAGCATCACTTTTCCCCATACCACCAAAAAGGAGGGTACGTTTTAGCCTTCGGTCTGCAAGAGCGTCTTCTATGAGGGCAAGAAGGGCCGGGAGTCCCGGGAGCTGAATACAATGCGACTGTCACAGGTCGCTCAACGCAGCGCCCTCTCGCAGGCCTCGCAGTCACAAGAGTGAACGCACAGGCTGCAGCAACCGCCTCAGCATCTCGGGCTTACGAGAGTCATCACCAAAAGCTTCTTTGTGACGTAAGAAACGCTGCTGCCACTGCGAAATCAAGAGCAATAGAGACACTTGACCGCAGGCGCGCCCGTCAATCCAGGGACGCTGCTGCAACAGCGACCGCTAGAGCTGCTGAGACACCGTTCTGTAGGTCTGTTCGAAATGCTAGATATACTGCCATCACTGCCAGGTCGAAGGCAGCTGAAACATTTTACCGCAGACGCGCCCGTCAATCCAGGGACGCTACTGCAACAGCTAGATCAAGGGAGTCCGAGAAAGAGCTGCAGCGGCCAACCTGCAATGCCTGTAACGCTGTAGCGCTTTCTACTGCCAGAAACTCCGAGGACACACAGACAAGGGCAAACAGACTTTCAAGGCCTGCTACAAACATGGCCGCTGTGCGCTTATCTCAAACTCCCCAAGCTCGCCGCATACGCCTCGACGGCAACATTCAGAGCCTGGCAGCCGCCCGTGGTGTTACCTGTCTCAGTAGCTTCTTTTGGTTTTTCTTGGCTTTCAATTACGACCCCGGCATTAACTTAACTACGCCTGATGATCTCAATGTAGGGTCCATGACCTACGGTTGTCAATTCTGCAATGCCCGCAAACGGGCCGGGGATATGCTCCTTCGGCATAGTTCGACTGCCACCTCTGCATGAATCATCTACACCGCTGAGGGGACTAATAGCCGGCTCCCACCCCGACTCCAACCACTTCCTTAAAACAATTAAGCACTACAACTAATTCAAATGACCTCATTTGGGGCTCAGGTGGTTCGAGAAGAGGGTTGGATGCCCACTTTCAAAGTACAGGGGCAGGTATACCACCGCATTGGGTCTCCGCTGCCGGAAGAGACCACTACGCCTAAATTCCTTCAACTGTACTTTATTGCAGACTACAATACCCGGATTGGTATTTTTCCGACGTTAGGAAGAGTTCCTCGTAGGGATGTCATACTACTACTTCACGACATGCTTCATGCCATGCTTCACGAGGTTAACAGCTACATTTGCAGTTTCAAATATGCTTTGAAAAATACTTCCTTTCCTTCCTTGGGAATTGTAATTGACGCCGAAAAATGGCCTCATGATGAACACGAACGCCGCTACAATGCTCCTGCGGGCAACAAATGCAACGGAGTGGCCACTATTATACATGGGGAGCAAGACCGCATTCGTGATATTGTCTCAAATCAAGAGGCGACGCTCTTCGCAGGATTTCAGAGACCCATCGATCATATGACCCATTGCAGTACCCTTTACATCTCCCTTATGGTGACGATGGCTACCACTTCGGCATTCCACTTTATACTCCGGGTGGCCAATGTCTTCCAAAGCCTTATCGTGCAAGGCTTTCTACTCATACCGTTTCATGATTAGGGATGGAGACTTCAACCTGCTCCATAGATGCAGGGAGCTTTTCCACCAGTTTGCGGTTGACATGGCCGCTAAGATGGAATCGGAGAGGCTTTGTTTTATACGGAATCAACAGAAACAGCTGCGCTCAGACACCTACGTACACTTACGCGACAGCCTTCGAAATGAAGTTAATCCCCGCGACCTAGGGAAGCTGTGCATTCTGCCCACTACCTAAATTGGGGCGGTGGCGTTACATGCATGAACGCACGCAGGACGCTATGGCATACGCTAGGCAATATGGGCGGCCAGACTTATTTATAACGTTTACCTGCAACCCCAAATGGTTTGAGATAACGCGTGAACTCCTACCCGGACAGGATTACACTCACAGACATTACAGTACCCCCCCCGCGTATTCCGCTTAAAACTGGGAAAACTTATAGACTTAATAGTGAAGGGGACGAGTCCTACAGTGAAAACGCAACCACTATTTTACATTGCCAGTATAAAAATCTTGACCAATTATGAACGGGTGGCAATGCAACAAAACATGTCTCAATGAGGACATGCTGCCAAAATACACACACACACACACACACACACACACACACACACACACACACATATATATATATATATATATATATATATATATATATATATATATATATATATGCCATCATTCGCTTTGAAATGGACACCTCGACTCTACCTCAACTTGACCTCTTTCCGAAGGTGACTGATATGTGGATAAAAATTAACTCTTAGGCTCCTTATCAAAACAGTCGCCCCCAGCCGTTTACATAGTAATTAATTTTGCAAATGAACATGCTTATAAAGATGCGTAAATTTCAAGATTGGTTATTCCTAAATTTTCGGATGAAACAGGGCTTGATACTTTAACTTAATTTAATTTTAATAATTATATTAAGGTTTTCGGCTTTAGTTTTTGAAACATGAGAACTCTTATGCAGCGACGGAATCATATTTGTTACTTCTGTATGGAGCACTGTTTTTGCTTTTTTTTTTAATGAAAACAAAAATACTAAAGAACACTGGATTATTTACCTAACGTGTTCTTAACCATAATATATATATATATATATATATATATATATATATATATATATATATATATATACATAAAGTGTTGATATTGACCCAAGAGCTAAAATACACTTGGTAAGATGCCAAGAATCAGGTGCAACTCTAGATAATAATAGTAAATCAATAACTTAGTCTGTAATGGTGAACTTGTAATACTGTGACAGGATAAAGCGACATTGTTCGATATAAATAGTCTTAAAAAGGACATCTTACATACCTTCTTATGCCAAAGTGAATGAACTGGCATAGATAAGTAAAAGTCTGCTATTTATCATGTGTATCAAAATTCAGTGACGGTACTTGCATAATACCAATTTAATAACATAAAAACATACAATTTGTTCCTGGTAAATTTCTAACGAAGAATAATGATATGAAAATATTTTTAGGGAAACAATTTTTATGTAAATCTACATTTTCAAAGTACAGTCATTTTTTCTTATACGGACATTAATAATTAAAGATAGATTATAATCTTAACGAAAATTGTTACTTAGATATAGATGCTTTCGTATTTAAAAATAAAACGGATGGCATAACACTTCATATGATCAAGGAAATAATTACGCTGAAATATTCCTCAACGTTCAATACTTATGCACAACAAATTTGATGTTTCTACTCGAGCGAGTTGTCTGTATTGTTTTACAATAACGTGCAAGTCATCTAAAGCTACAGGGGACAGAGTAAGGGACACAGTTTATGTGGATGTGTCGAGAAGATAACAATTAATCCTAGACTTGAAAAGGTCTAGATTATAGCGATCGGGGAAGCATCCACTAGGAAGTCGGTTCCACAAACTAGCGATTGGTGGGAGGATGCTGTTCGAGTGCAATTTACTTCTCACCAAATGAAAATGAAAGTGATGGACATGGTCCACGACATATGCATGGAACATGGAATGCCTTAGACGTGAAGTTTAGAGCTGGTGGAATGTCGTTCGTCTGGACACGTTTTATGGAAATATGTGATAGAACAGCAAGAGGCTTGCAACGTTTCGTCTATGGGAAAGGGATTGTAGACTGGAAAATAATTCCTCACCAACAAGAACGCGGATACGCTTTTGAATTCTATCAAAACTAGAACGTGAATACTGGTCAGCGTATGTCCATATATGGCAGCAGTACTCAATTTTCAGCCTGAGCTGCCTCTTGTAAAGGTCGATGAAAGCAGGAGAAGTCATGTACTTATAGTGGTACAGGAAACCAACCATTTTTCAAGTATCTTTAGCAGTGGATGATATGTACGAATTCATTTGAGTTCTACTTCGAGTTTAAATCCGAACAGACTATCAAGGCACGGGGTCTCCCTGAGAGAACAAACATTCATCGCGATAGATGAAAAATTCAGTGCCCCCGTAGTAACGATAAAACATCATTTTAATGTGACCTAATTATGTACAGTGATGGGTCATATGCAATGTAGATGAACTATTCAACTAGAAAAATTGAAAATCAATACAATGTATCTAAATACAAATTCAACTCATATTTCCATTTTACATAAATCAGCAATGTTTTGCGACAATTTTTAATATCAACTTGAGACTTTTCTTGCTAAAATGCCAAATTTTACCATACTCAACATTATGGAGAAAAACAATGACATTTATGTGGTGATTTCTCGTGATTTAACATGAGCAAAACAAATTCACGGAAAACACAATGATGTCAAAATCTGCGAAAAGTTTTCATCCTTTAATAATTAGTTTTACTTAGTTTAATTTGTAATTTATTTAAATGCAGGTAGAAAAAAGAAAATGTTGATAAAATAGCGAAGGTGACAAAGCACTTCCTGGGGTCCCCATTTTGGCTCCCAACTTTCGGGGAGATTTGGTGTCGCATGCGCCGGCCCTGTATGGCAGAATAGTTTATAAAAGATTATAACAAAGATATTATGATATGACCAAGTAAAACTAGATTTCCATGTTATAAATTTCAGTTTATTCCTCTTCTTTTCATCAATTAAAATGCCAGACACATTTTTAATTATTCAATTCTCTTTTTGTACTGAAAAAATGTAACTAAATAAAGTTAAATTTTCAAAGATTATCTTCCTGACTTTAAGGTTTGCCGTTGTAATCCGCTCATCAATGGGATTAGATAATTCTGTTGAATTTATTGACGGATATCATGCAATATATTCTACTGAATTTACTAACGTGATATATGATTATAAATTCAGTTATAATCAGGAGTTTAGATAGTTTATTAATATATGATATATACTGCATGACGCTCGCGAAATTAAATTCGCGAAATTAAATTCGCGAATAGGTTTTTGAACTTGTTATTTTATATTTTATTTGTTTGCTATTAATGGTTTACATTTTAAATATTGAGCACTATACGTACAAAGACGGCTAACTTTAAAAACATTAACCTTCAGAAATACACTGGTCATTCGTTTTTCTTATTTTTCGCTTATAATTTTTGTTATTATATTCGAATATATAATGATGCACATTGACACGATAAAACCTCCTCCTTACAAAGAGACTATATTGGATCAATGACTACTTAGGAAAATTGGTTCACTTTGTAGTGCCAGAAAAGTTTTCACGTCAGAATCCATCTTTCATATTTATAAATTTATCATTCGTCTGTGCATTGGATACTGATGTCATATCAGGTCTGATGATTTTGCTGCATATGCCGGGATTTGGACAAAATTAAAAGAATAGTCTGTAAAGTAATAGATCCTGATCTGGCATCTCGTCACTTTCTCACCGACGTGACGTGGCTTCTCTGTGTGTTTTCTACAAATATTTTCATAGCAACTCTGATAAGTTATTTTTATCCTAGTGCTTCTACGACATGAATTTAAGTTCTACTCGATTGGAAACTACTCTCATTGTTTTACCACTGAATTAATATTATTTTATAAATATTATTCTAATCGAATGTATAATGATATCCATTGACTGCAACGATAAAACCATCTGCTTACCAAATCTGTAACACTGTGCCAGGTAATTAAACCTATATTTTTGCATTTATTGATTAGCACCATATAAAGCGAATCAATATCGTTTTACTTCCTATCGTGACTGTTACTTTCTAGATATATCTCTATCTATAAAAGGCAGGATGTGTGTGTGTGTGTGTTTGTGAATGCACGGCCGCAATTTTCGACGGATTTGCACCAAAATTTACATGCACATGCTCCAAGTTAGCGGGAATGTCAAGACCGAC